GGAGGCGGCCACGAGGCTCGCCGGAAAGGTCAAGGCGTGAGCGAACGAGAGGTGGAAAACTCGCAAGCTGCGCAAGCTGCGCATCCCTAAAATCGCATAGTCCAACACAAACATTGCACGCCATGACAAAAGAATTCCAGGAGAAACACAAAGGGGAGGAGGGAGCTGTTGCCTATGAAGAAACTGTGACTAGGGGATTGTGTCCCGGTGAGCTCAGAAACCGTTGTTCAAGTTGTTGCGGATGCTGGATAACTAAAAATGCAAACATCACCCGAAAACCAGAGCCGATCATGGCACAAATGTACCCTGTTTTGATTTGACATCCTAGAAATCTGAAAACTGCAATTGGATGAAATTCTGCTTTTGTTCTTCAACATTCAAGTGCATGATTGTGGACGAGTTGGACCAGTTGCCTGTGTGCCAAAAGCACTCACACAAGGCTTGGGAATTTTGAATAGGCTTGAAGACAGGCTTGAAGAACAGAGTTCCAAAGCATGTGGCAGAAGAGTGTGGGGGATCAAATGGGATTGGCACTTCTGTTGGTGGCCCGCCAAGTCGATGCTGTGCGAGGGATGGCTTAACCATCAAACACCATCTGGCAAAACAAACACAAGCAACGTAACCACACAAGACTGTCTACAGTCCGGAACCTGGTTCATATACACGAATCGAGGGTAGCAAAATGAAAGTCTGCCTTGAACCCTCAGGTGCCTCCACAGCAATTTGGTGGTGCCACACAGTCAGGACCCAAGTCGGCCTATTGGAACACTCTCCTTACCGAGAGTGACCGCTTGACCAAAACATACCAAGCTTGTGGAAGGCGTGGATCACCGGATCACTCATCTTCACCGAAGTTTCCAACTTCCGTTCCGAGGCTGCGGCCCCACGTTGCATCGTCGTCTTCATCACTTGGTTCCTCCTTCCTCTCCAGGCTCTCGGGGTCGACGCGCAGGAAGTGCCTCACGGCACCCACGTTGCCCTCCATGGCCGCCTGATGGATGTCCTTGCCTCGGGACACGAGCACAACCCCTTGGGAGTTGCTGGAAGGGGCACGGCTCATTAACAGGGATACCCAGATAGCTACCCCATCCAGGACGGGAAAGCCTGAAATAAAGAAACCATCATGAAACCTCCAGCACTGCATGGATTTTGTTCTTTTTCCAGCCTGGGGATGAGGATGGCAAAAGCAGATCTTGAGGCGCAAGATTCCCAATGCATAGAACCCTTGAAAAATAAATGTTATGGAAAATAAACTTAACAAAATTAACTCAACAGAAAGCTACCTTCAGCCCGCTGAGCGAATTCAACAATCTCAGGTCTTGACAGTTTTTAGCTGCAGCTTCGTCTGCCTTGACAGGCAAGACTGCCGACTGTTTCGACTGTTTCGGCAGAGAATTGTTTTGCAAAGTTCTAATGTCCAGAGTTGTTTGAACAGAACATCGCCCCAAACTCAAATTTCAAACAGACTGGCTAGCTGAACGGATCAGTTGGACCATGCCAGGTTTACCAACAACGAGGACAATTGTTGACACCATCAGCAGAATCTGAAAGTCGAGGCACCACATTTCCACCCCCAAGAAATTCATGGAAATGGATGGAAATGTTCCCGTCCAATCCGTCCCAATCACCCCAAACCATGGGACCTCAGGGTCTATTGCCACGGCGGCTGCGGCCTTGCCAAGGCTATATCCAAATAGTGGGCGATGAAAACCACCAATTTTCTGTGCCCAAAAAGACCACGGCCGGTTTGCCAACAGACCGGCTGGTTGAAAGGATCAGTTGGACCATGGCAGTTTACCAACGAGGACGGTTGACACCACCAGAATCTGCCAGTCGAGCTGGACATGTTCCCGTCCAATCCGTCCCAATCTCCACACCCGAAACAATTGGCACCTCAGGGTCTATTGCCACGGCGGCTGCCTTGCCAAGGCGTCCAAAGTTTGTGCAGTGATGTGGCAAATGATTTGCAGCGCATGTGAGGAGAAATGCTGAGATCGATTCTCAGCAGTAGGTGATGAAAAACAAACGCATACACCGCATGATGCCCTATCAAGTCTTTTTCCCGTGGTAGTGGATCTAAGAAATGTCTATTTCTGACAAAACATGTGATAAGATTGAAGAAGCATTTGCCGAATTTGCCTAAAATATGGTTAGGATACGTTGGGATACTAAAATATCGCTAAAATTGAAAAATGGAAATATTCCATGAGGGTTGAATGATTTTGTTACTGTTTTGTGCCTGCAATTTCCCGTCCAAGCACCCCAAACATTGACACCTCAGGATCTATTGGCACGGCAGCTTCGGCCTAGCAAAGGCGTCCAAAGTTCGTGCAGCGACGTGGCGCATGATTTGAAACTCATGGCGAGAAATTCTGGGACCGATTTTCTATACCCAGGTGACGAAAACAATTTTCTGTGCCCAAAAACGACCAAGGCCCGGTTTGCCAACGACGACTGTTGTTGACGGATGTAAAAACTGATCTGGTTCCAAATCTCCACAGTGTTGCGAAAAGTGCTGGGTCTTGGGTCCAAGAAAAGATCGAACGGGATACAGCGGCACTCAATCTGCATTCATTTACTCACGGAATGCCACTGGTCCATTGGAGCAATATCATAACGAGCCTCCACCGGCCGCCCCAGAAACCAAAAGGTTTCAGGGTTGAAATGGCCATAGAAGTTATATCAAGTTATACATCATGGAATCATGGATCATCCCAGACTTCACATCTCCAGCCGCCTGGGCCGGGTAGGCCGAGCTGGTCATACTGCGGATGTCAGAGTTCCTGATACAGGAGAAAAACGATAGAAATCCATGAAACATATTGAAAAATCAGGGACAAATATGATAAATCGATATTGGCATCTATATATGAAATCCTTTACGTATCTTTACGTTACTTTACGTTGGTTGGTTAGCTCCCCTATTTGGTGTAAGACCAGGGATGCCCACCACATGGATTTTCTCCTCTCCGTGACCCGTGGAGGAGTTTTTTGGCGGTGGTGGGGCTTGACTTTGAAGAATATGTGACTCAAGTCTGACAGCTTTGGATAAACCCCAGACCCTAGGAGGACTTTGTTTACTCACTGTTTGCATTCAATTGTTTGAGAATTAAGCGGAACTCAGGAAATCTCATTTGATTAAGAAAACCATCCCAGAAACAGCGCAAATGTGGGACAACCAGTTCACCTGCTGACCTTCCTGGTTCAGAAAGTCTTGGAAAAACAGCTCTGGAATGTAGCTGTGGAAATTTAGGGAACTGATCAAAGGCCATGTGAACCCATTTCAGGCCCTTCGGAAGCATACTCCGTGAAGACTACACGGCGCTTTTGTTTCATGCGAATCGAACTCAATCTTGTGAATATCGACCTGTTCATTTGCTTTCAGGATTTGGACAAATTATATCCGAAACAGGTTGAAACCACATAAACTTCATATAAACCACAGTTTCATGACCATTTGTCGTTTCTTTCAATGTCATTCCAGATATTTTAGCTACAGTTTTCTCGTATCAACCTCGACCCAGTCCTGGAGATCCGAGGGGCCCCAAGGCTCAAGGCTCGGCCTTTGGGGACACCATCTTTGGTTCAAACGGGAAGAAAAATCTCCAGAAATGTGGTTTTTCCATGTTTTTCCAGGGACTTCACCGGAGAAATGTTTGATTTTCAAAGATATTTTGATGTTTTTTGCAACGTTTTGCTTCAAAACCGATGGCTGGGATTTTCCCAAAAAATTGGAAGAAGCGAAGGTTCGATGATTTTCTTCGAACAACATCCGGCAGCTGAGGCTCAAGCGCTCAACAACTGTTTGAACACTGCGAATCGGTGAGTGGCGCTACGGAATAAAAACCGTTGCAACGAGTCGCAGTGGTGGGATGATCCAACTGAACCCCACTGGATCTGGAGCAGCCCCTTGAGACTTACCGTAGAGTTCTTTCCAGTGCACAGTGACGAATGACATGTTGCTACACGCAGAAATGCAGAAATACATCATGTCCTGAAAACCCATCCTGTCTCGAATTTTGCTGCTTGATATTTGTCTTCCACTGAGCTGCAAACTGCGCTATGCAAGAAAGGGAATGAGCACAGGAGAGACAAATGTCTGTACAAGTCCCAAATGAGCCGCAAAGGTTGAGTCCCTATCAATGTTGAACCCTAATTGACAAGCTGTGAGGGCCGAGTACAACGTGGACTGAGCGAAGAAATGTGGCACAAGGTGGGATCGCCAATTATAAATTGCCTCTTGAGAATCTCATCACCTTTTACATCGGCCTCCGGCTCCCCATGGGCAAAATTCCGGTCACTGGAAAACTATCCGTTTCAACCTGCTTCAACTATATACATATATATTATATATATATATGTTAAAGCTTCACAGTGACGCTGCCAATGAATGCAAGCTGGCGCTTTTTCTCAGCGCCAGGATGGCTTGGTGGTGGTGGCGCAAGCAGCAGCTAAAAGAATCGCCGTAGAGCATGGGCATCACGTAGCCAACAAAGGGGAGGTCCAGCAAGTAGAGCTCCGCAGCAACAAAAAGGATGCCCATAGCGTAGTGCTCCCAGGCAAGTCGAACAAGAGCTGGTGACAGCACCAAGTTTCCTCTACCCAGCGTGGCTTAGCCAGGGAGGAGGGCAGGGCCAACAAAGCTGCAGCCACAGTGCAGTTGAACATGAGGTGCCATGTTAAAGCTTCACAGTGACGCTGCCAATGAATGCAAGCTGGCGCTTTTTCTCAGCGCCAGGATGGCTTGGTGGTGGTGGCGCAAGCAGCAGCTAAAAGAATCGCCGTAGAGCATGGGCATCACGTAGCCAACAAAGGGGAGGTCCAGCAAGTAGAGCTCCGCAGCAACAAAAGGGATGCCCATAGCGTAGTGCTCCCAGGCAAGTCGAACAAGAGCTGGTGACAGCACCAAGTTTCCTCTACCGCCATCAGAAAAGGCGCACATGGGTGAAAAGTACAGAAAGCCATAGCAGCCCTAACAAGGCTGGAACAGCGTTGTAGAGTCATCCCGCACCAAAGGCCAGAAAAGCAAACAGAGAAGCAGCACTTCGAATGGCTCTCCTAGAGGACAAAGGGAGCTCGGTCAGCAGGCTAAGCGCTGCGACCTCCTGCAAATAGGCCTCCAGAGTTGTCACTTGCTTTAAGCGCATAGCCCACAGCAAGTCGCTGATCGAAGCTCCTTTCCGGTAGCTCGTTACAGCGCCTCCGCCTCGTAGTCCGCCAGGGGTGACATGAACGTTTGTAGGCACCTCCAGCAACTGCAGGATAAAGTCCCATCGCCTGCGAAAAACATGAGCACTACCAAAGCAAAGCAGTTCGTCTTTGTCTGCACCCTGGTAGATCAAATTCAGGAGCTTTACAGCGTGCAAGTTGGTGATCTTCAAGTGCTGCACTCGAGCCAGTTGCCTATAGCTCGTCTTTGACCTCCTCAAGACTAAAAAGGCAGCATCGCACTCATACAGCATGTCGCAGGGCAGCAAGAGGTCTTCCCTGCGGCATTTCAAGACTTCTCCGGCACGGGCGATGCCGAAGAAGCACAGCAAACAAACACCGCACCATCGCTTCCAGTTCATGCTCCATGCTATTGCGATCATGGCTTCAACCAAAACCTCAGGCACAGGAGTACGGTGAGTGGTGGGCTCGGCTTTCTCCCATCTGGTAGCAAGATCCCAGCATATTCCTGCGTAAGGCTTCAATTGCGGCACTCTCCGCGAAGAAACCAGGATCAAATGCCGGTAGTAAAGCAAGGAACCACCACGCCCAAATTCCAGATCTCCAAAGCGCCGAATAGCATAGGCAAGAAAAATTGGAACAGCCAGGAAAAGAGCCAAAACGTCGGACTCCACAAACTGATAGCACCAAACCAAAAACCTCTTCCACTGCTGGTCACCAAGACGAATGCTGTTCCAGGTTTGCACGGGAGCCTCTTCCAGGGAGAAACCTCGAGGATGAGCTATTCTGCGAGGTCCGGGGTGGTCGGCTTCTCCGATCCGCATGGAAGAGCATTTGGCGCACCCAGCAATGTTAAACTTTCCACTGCCTTGTCTGCTCCACCCACATGCATCCAAAGCAGCAGAAGCTATCATCCGGCTGAAACCACGTGGGTATGGCTGCGCAACCAAAGTCCAGGGAATCCTCAAAGTGGGGTGTTGACCACGTAACTGTTGATGCCCTCTAGAGCACGTGCACAACATGCGCATGCCTCTCAACTTTGGAAGGTTTGTTGCCACTCTCGTTCTCTTTCTCCACTTGGTGCCGAAGCGGCAGTAGTCTGCCCTGAACACATGCTGAGAATCGGGCTTTCTATACTTTCTGTACTTCCTTTGCCCCCACACATGGGACGAATCAGGGTTCTCAGTCCAAAAGAAAACATCAGGACTCTCAGCATCATCCAGGCTCTCCTCACACAGCTCGTGAAGCTCGGCACCAAAGTCGGCCATCTCATTTCCCTCCTTTACCTTCTCCTTCATGTTCAAAGTCATCCAAGGCACGCCCCCCGGATATTGCAAAGTGCGGACCGCAGGGGTGACAGCACGGGAGAAGGACTTGCATACCATAGCAGACCCTACCAACTTCACACCACGAAGGACCACCAATCTGGTGATGCTGTCTCTGTTGGAAGCCAGCAGGACATTCTCGCTTTCGCTCCGGCCGATCTCGAAGGTCAGGACCCAGGGACAGCCTCCTTCAGCCAGGCACGAGCAACTCCTCCTTTGCCGCTGTATAAATCCAAAGCACCTGGCTCCAGAAACTTGCTAACCCCAACGGCGAAGACGAACTGCTGTAGAGGAAAGCTACGGAGGATAGCCAAAGCCTCCGCACCCAAACAACTTCCCTCGCACGCGGGCATCAGTGCCTCACCCTTCTCACAAACGGCCTTTCCTTTTCGCCCAGTGCTGGCTCGGAAAGCTCGGCCCGTCCTCATGTCAACAGGATCTCCCAAAGAGGCTCGATCAAAGTGACACGTGGGAGCCACCATCACTTCCAAGTCCTTCAGCCAAGGGTCAAGCCGATCAAAGTGGTTGTTGCAAACATCATCCCACCACCAAGGCAAACCTGCATCTGGAGCGTCCGGCTTCGCGTCTCTGGTGGGCCCATCAGCTCTGTTCAGCTTTGAAGGCCAAAAACCATACCCGCCGTAAAGGTCAGAGCCAAGCATAGTGGGCACGCTTCTCAGCAGCTCTGAGTTCAAAGCCTTCGAGGAAGCTCTGCCTTTGACCAAACTTCCTAAAGCCACCTGAGAGTCAAGGGCATAGGGCACCCGAACGCTGAACTGCTTTGCTCCAATGCGACCTTCTTCAATCAGATGCGCACGGAGCTCGCCAATGTTCACATGCACTGGCTTTGGGTGTTTTCGCCGCCACTGTTCCTCATAGGGCACTGCTCGAGCCAAAGATTCCCAAAAGGGGTGAACATCGTAAACGTCACCACCAGGAAGTTCATCCTCCTTCTCCAAAAATTCTTTACTTCGCAACCATGCTTTGCTTGGGGGGAAGCAGTTTTGTCCAGCAACTCTTGCTGAGACTCAACCTCATTGCCTCCCTAGCAACTTGCACAGGGATCACGCCCGCCACAGCGGCCATGCCCCAATCTGAGGCGTCAGTCGCGTGGAGGACCCCAACTGTGGAGGCTCTCAAATTGACCACCGCTAACGTGCTCAAAATCATCATGGTGAAGAGCTCGTCAATCAAAGCTCCAGAGAGCCTAAGGACTTGCCTGTCTGAGCCGGACGCAGCAATGGCGTCAAAGACCAAGTTCATGGTGGACAGGAGCCTGCGCCTCAAAGAGAGTATGGAAATGTAGGATCCAGCCAAAGAACGAAGAAGGCCTACGGTGGAGAGACCTAAAGCACATACGTGCACCGTGATGAGCAGCAGGGGCCAAAGTCTGGTCTCGTTGGCACGTACCAGCCCCTTTTTTCCATCAACTTGGACTCCCCAAAAAGAACTGCACAAGCTGTTGTCGAAGGCCTTCTTCTCATTAGTAGGCAGTCCGACCTCCTCGTACTTAGCCATGATCCTCTCCATACGCTCGTCCAAAAGAGAAGCACCCTCATAAACACCGGCCTTGACGTCGGAGGCAAGGACCTTCTGCAAACAAACAAGGTCATCAATCACTACACCAACGCTGAGCAAACCCCTGGGGCATGGCTGGTGCATCATCAGGATCTCATCCATAGAAGCTCCACCACAAGACACGACCAGCTTGAGGTGAGACCCCTGTGCAAATTCGCAGGCGTTCAAATCGCCCATAGCCAGCGTTGACAAACCAACATAGCCAGCTTCGGTGAACTTCTTCCCGAAGATGAACTCCAGGTCCTCAGGCTCCAGCCTACCGGCCAAGTAGTTGCGGCGACATCGCTGCGGGGAAACAGAAAACTGGTAAAAGTAGTCACGAATGTCTCTCCCACTCATGATAAGGCACTGTGACTCATCAAGCTCGATGCCGGAAAGACAAGTGCTGCTGCTCATGGTCTTTGTCCAAGTGTTCAACATCTTTTCAACCGTGTTTGGGGGTCTTGCATCTAAGATTAAACGGTCTCTGTCAAGATCTTTGGGAACACAAAAAAGGCCACACTCGAGCCCAGGACGTACATCATCAACGGTCAGAGGCACCAAACGACCACAAGCAGCCATCTTCTGAAACAACAGATTCCGTTCATGAGCAGAACCATGTATGCTAACTTGAGGGGGTTCATCAACGACATCGTCACGAACACATTCTAAAGGAAATTCATAAGCATGAGCAGTTTCCTTGTCGAAGTAGGGGACAGGGTTGAAACTTGGGGAGCCAACAAAGTGAAGCCGATCAGCTTGCAAAGGCTTAGCTACAGCAGAATCACCACGTTTGGATTCACCATGAAAAACTCCGAAGCCCCCTGAAATCTCCTCCCAATCATCACCTTCATTTTCACGCCAAGCTCTGGTCGGAGAGCAAGTGTCAGCCCCGTAGGGAGCAGTAGAGGTGGAACAGCAAACGAGAGCACGGTGGAGAGCATCCAGCTGGTCAGCCGAGGATTCTGTCCGCAGTGCTGCTCTTGCCATCAATTGTGCATCCACCTGTAAAAGTGAATTCTGATCTTCGCTGAGGTGTTCCAAGAGGCGAACTGGACGCCACTGCCGGGCAGAAAGTCTCCGGCCTGGCCATAGCAGACCTGGGCAGCTATGAGGTCTTCCAAGGTGAAGCCAATTGAGAACTAACACCTGCAGAACCAGCCGCCTCTTCTTCCAAGAACCACCAAAAGCAGAGTCTCCTCCAAAAACTTCTGGATAAGGAACGGGCATAGGCCAGAGTCCCCTCAGCGAGTGATCCTCATCATGAGGCCGTGGCAAATTGCTGAGAAAGCTTTGCACAAAAGTAGCTAACTTGGCCGCGTACTTCGTCACGACACGTAGCCATGAATTAACGAAGGCCGGAACCTTGACAGTGGGCGCACGACTGCCCGGGACGTGGACAAACTTCGTGCCCAAGCCGCCGGAACTACCGGAGGGGCACACGTCAGCAGCCTTCAAGGAACTCAGGCCGTCTCGGCCGCATCGCTCTGGCTTTTCCCTTTTGACTTTGGCTTCGGCCTCGGTCGATTGGTCTCCTTCTCGGTCTCCTCGGTGGTCTTCTTCCCCAGGGCTCTGCGTTTTTGCACATAGTCCTCTGCGTCCTTCAGATGCGACAACATCACCTCGGCCCACCTTGGGTCCAGTATTTTGCTGAATGGGCTTTCCCCGTCTGCAATGGACGGCAACGTATGGGACGCCAAAGCAGACCAAGGAGGCCCCTGCTCGAGCATGAGCTCCGAACCCAAAGCCCAGTTGCCTCTGTCGATCGCCACTTGGTCGATCATCAAGAGCATCAGACAGCTGCGAGCCCTCGCATGGGCCACCCGGCCGTTCACCAGGTCGTCCAGGATCCCAGCTGCCGACCATGCAAGGTAGGCAGAGCTCTTGTAAGCACCGATGCGGCTCCGATGCTCCACCCAGGCACGGGCGTTGAAGTCCTTCTTCGGCATACCGGGCATCACTGTCTGCAAAGTAAGGTCCTCCAGAATCAACTTCTCGATGACGTTGCTGATGTCTTCCGGTGCTTCCTGCAATGCCAGCCTGAGGGCTCTTCGAGCTGCTGCAGCTCGTTTGCCAGTGGAACTTGTAGAGCTGTCTGCACCAGTGTTTCCTCCCAAGTTCTCGAGGGCGATGTCCACCTTCGAGGACTTTGCTCTCTTGATCTTGTCTGCACTGAGAAGCGTCACCAGCTCCGTCAACTTGTTCAGGGCCCCCTCCATGGTCGCCGGATCCTGAGCTCCAGCTGTAGGAGAGCCAGACTCGCCCTCTTCGATCTCGTCCTCGCTTTCTGAAAGGACACTGTCGGACACCTTTCTCGCAGGCTTCCTCAGGGCAGATTCTCGAAGCTTTTTCCCTTTTGAGGAAGCACCCATCAAGCGCTCCATTTCTCGCAAGTTCTCCTCTGGAACTCCTGCAGAAAGCGCAGAGGCAACCACACTGGGGTCTAAAGAAGGAAACTTGGCAGCATCTTCGTGACGATGAGGTCCAGGAATCAATTTGGGCCTTGCGGCAAAATGCACCTTGGGAGTTGAAGGCTTGGACGAACCAGAACTCACCTTCTCCGACACAGTCTCCAAGCTGACCGACATCTTCCCCAGAAGCTCCTCCAACCGCGACACTCGGGGGCCCAGACCAAAAGCGGGCCCTCCATGACCGGCTGAACCATCTTCTCCTCCCTTGCCGCTCTCCGCACTCAGAAAGCAAAAGCGCTCTTCCAGCGCTTCCACCAAGGCTGGGGCATACGGGAGGTAGCCGTCGCTCTCCTCGTACCAAGAAGGGCCCACCGTTGCCTAATTAAGGCAGCAATGAAAAATTAAGCTATCAATGACGAAAATGATGCAGTTTTGAGCATGGCCCAAATGTGCTGGTGCCATTTGAGTTGCAGGATTCCACCTACAAACATGCAGTGAATCCATATCACAAGCATCTTGTGAGCAGCATAAACTTGGACATCAAGTTTCAGCGGTGGTAATTTTCCACACAGTGTGCACTGGTGTGATGGTAGCACCATCCAACTTGAGCCTTATATTGTGTGGCAGGCGCAATACTTTGGACTTAAATCTTGAGACTCTCACCTGGATCATGTATATAATATATATCTCTATCTATATCTCTATATATATATATATATAATAGATTTTTATAGATTATGATTAGGATAGTGTATTTATAAAATGCACTGGTGCCGGTTCTGGTTTTCGAAGCATGGTGGCTGACACAAACCCACCAGCAAATCTCCTGGTCAAATGGATAGAATTGTGGTGTCCTAAAAAAGTTGGTTGTGTTTATTGTAAAAAACAATCTGCCAGTTTGAAGGCGCAACTGCCTCCAGCCAATTTTTCTCTCGCGCATCCGTCTCTTGCAGTACCCCAGCGAAGCGCATGCAAGTTTGCACTATGTAGCGAAACAAAGTAAGACGGGACATGTAAGCTGGATGGCTTTTTTCAGCTATCCGTTTGGTTCGGGAGATCATGTCCTCATCTGCATATACCATGAGGTAACGCGGGTTTTTTGGCAAAAAGTGCCAAACAAGGTGCCCCAGCATATGGGCCTTTGGCCGCATATGATATTTTGCTTCCCCCTGGGCGATGGCCCGGTCCGCAAGTATGTTCAAAGCGGATCTGAAAACGCAGTAGGCCCTTTTGAACTCACAGGTCACGTAAGGCGTGAATTGTTTCGCACCTTGAAGCATCAGAACTTCCATTGTTGCCAGTCCACCAATCAAGCCGGACCAGTACCTCAATCGATGGTGGGCCCTAAAGGAAAGAAAATTGACAAAAACGACATTACCCATCGAGAAAATCCATTGCGCCCATTTCTTCGGACGGTCAAGCATAACTTGCGAAGCTTGCGAAGTTTTGGCGGCATCCCCCGTGTAGATTCGCTGGGAGCACTGCACGAGATCAAAGACTTCACCCTTCATTTCTGCTTGCCAGTCCTCTGGTGCGCGGAAAACTGTTGGGAGACCAAATGTGAGCTCTGCCGCCTGGGTAAGGGCCCGGCACTGGATTCCCATTGCAGCTCTTCGCTCCCACAGACCAAGCAACGCCACGGTTTGCTGATACGAGAGCGGGGACGGTGGGATTTTCGCATGGACACGTAGGCCGATGACAGGAAGAAAGTTGTGGTGTAGCCACTGCGGCTGCCAATCTGCTGTCCCAAACAGAGCTGCTGCTAGTGGTAGCCACCCAAATTGCGCCAACTCCTCAAGTCGCGATGGCAGACGTTGCTTGGCCCTTGTTCCAAACCCATGCAGGATAGCAGGCCTCATGAAGCTCGGTTCAATTTCCATGGCCTGATAGATCTTGTCTCCTGGTAGTACTTTAATCACCACCTCGCCTGGGAGGAGGCTGAGTGTTGGCAGGGCCCCTTGCTCATAGGCGGGCCGGGCCCACTTGTGAAAGTTGGGTTGTCTGCCTTGGAAACCATCAAGGATTCCTCGCAAGTGTCCATGACGAGGCCACACACCCGTCTCAGGAACAGGAAAGGTAACCCACCCTGACCATTGCCCCAATAAGCTCCAGGCATGACACCAGTCAGCTGCACATCGAGTGGCGGTGCCTAGAAGTGGCGATCCTAGTAAACCACTGGAAACGGCAGTTTCTGTGTCACAAGGCGGTTGAGTGGTTGATAGGTAGCCTTCGACATGGTCAAGGTAGGCTTTGCTGGCAAGAGTAGCAAGTTCATCTGGGTCTCGCTCAGGATCAACAAGTTCGGACTCCAGGAGTGGGCTGCGATGACCAGATGCCAACACAATAACTAGTCCAGCATTGATTTCCGTGAAAGCTTCACTTACCAGGATGACGCCTTTGCTGGCCACAGGTTGCTGTGCTTCAATGGTTGACCGTTTGTTGGTTGATCCTGAGCACGACTGGGCAGTGGGCGAGCAGTTGCTGCTCGGCTCTTCTCTTCTTCTCGCTCAGTTGGGTGTGGGCTCGGGGGTTCTGACCCACCGAAGTCAACCTCATCCTCGAAATTTCCTGTGGGGTCTGGAGGCGGTGCCTGCACGTCAATGGCCGCAAAGTTCTCGACGCTGCGCGATTTGGGCAGCTTGATAGGGGGGCCAGGTTGTTGTTGCGTGGCTTTTCCCGTGTCAACAGATCTTGCTCTCTTCTGCGCAGGTGCAATCGGACTGCTCGGTATTACTTCAGGTTGTCGGCAGCCTTCTTCAGGGGGGTCGTGCCCTACGCATGACAGCCACAGCTCCTGAATTTCGAAGAGCGTTACAGGCACACAATCACTATCGATGAGAGCAAAGTTGATGCTTGGGAAGAGAAAAACACATGCATCCAATATGTAGGTGCCAGCCCACGTAGGGTGCACCTTATCCAGGCCAGTGTCTGCCGATATGGGTACAAACACCACTGTGGTGTGCTCGCCATAGGGGCCCACGTATCGGATGCGCTCCTTCCACCACGCAGCGACCATGGGCCAGTGACTTAAACCTGGAGTGCTGGCCACAGTCTCCGCCAACAGGTCTCGATTATCAGTGATGAGGTAAACAGTCTGGAAAGCTAGGAACTCAGCGGCTTGGCTGACGACCCAGCGATATAGGCTGTGCCACGTAGGTCCCGGTGCAACCTCAACACCATCCACGACCTTGATCTCATAGTCGTGCCTATCAGGTTCGCCAGACTTCTTGTGGGGGTCTCCAAATCGCCACTGGTGATGGACAGTCTGGTTCAAACCATACTCCGTGGAAATGTCTTTATAAAGACCTAGAGCTTCCAACAGGTCATCAAATTGCGCTGTGGGGTCAGGTTCGAACCAAATTTGCTCAGCTTGCTGCCTAGTAAGGAGCTCCATGAACAGGATTAGAAGGCAAAGCCCCTGGACCAGTCTACGGCCAGAGACAATGCCAAATAGTAATGTTTAGGGGGACCAGCGGAGTGATACCCCTGACCAGTCTACGGCCAGAAGTACCACACTGGAACACTTGTTGAGGGAGTGGCAATGCGGAAAAGGGGAACCAGAAAGAGAAAGCCGAGCCAAGACGAGGGGGGGAGAGGGGGGGGGTGCTGGAAATCCTGGACCAGTCTACGGCCAGAAAGACCAGGCACCGAGCCCGAGGAAAGCAGGAAGCCAGGGAGACACAGGAGAAGGGGGAGGGAAGAGGCAACCAAGCGGACAACACAAAGGAGGGGCAAGGGACCCGGGGCAAGAGAAAAGGGAGAGGGGGACGTACCACCCACCACCGTTCACAGATAGTTGAGAGACAAGCAAGGACTGCACAGGGCGAAGCCAAAAGGGGCACTCCAAGCAAAAGAGAAGAAATCAAACAACAGACAACGGAAAGGGAAGAGGGCACAGGGAAACGAGAAAAAATGGGGCGTGAGGCACTGACAGTCCTGGACCAGTCTACGGCCAGAAAAGCCAGGTACCCCCCGATCACAACGGAGGAGAGAAAGCAACCGAACAATTAAGACAAGACGGTGGAAAGAGACAAGGCCGATGAACCGCCCGCAGCGACACAATGAAACTACCCCGAGAGCCTAATCTGCAAGGGATAGCAGGGAGAGTTGCCGCAGAGCACAGTACCAATACGGGCTCTAGGCTGGGGCGAGGAGACGCACCTATATTCACCAATTTGAGCCATAAAGAGCAACGATACGCACCAAGTCGATCCAACATGCCTAGTACAGCTAGAGGATTCCCCAACCTACATATCCTTGCCCAAGCGAATATGAGTTCTTAGGGGCCAAACTCTTCACAATCTCTTGCAGTAGGATCTTCTTATTGTACCAAAAGTGAGACTAATAGATGGACTAATCAACCGGGATCAAGGATGCAAAGTGACACACCACTATCATGATCAGGAACACGTCAATCGAATCGGCTGGTGCTCACTCCTTTGCTGATGCGAGCTACGAGCAGTACCTTAAGTGGCATTAGTCACCTGATCCAGCCATGTTTCCGGACGGGTCAGCCCAGCTGGTCGGTGGAGTTCCTGTCTAATTCGAACCGGTGGATAGAGGCCTGCCAATATTCGTCTCCATCGGTGCGAAGTGTAACACCCTCGCATGTGTTGCGGTCCGGTACTACGATACTTCTGGACTATACTGCCCAGGAGGAGCGTGGCATGCTCCGTCATGGCAGTACCGTCAAGACTTGATTGTGCAGACCCTTCTGCTGTTCTCCGGCTCTGAGTATCTTGGCCTTGGGGAAGTAGATCAGCCACTGTATCCTCTGGGCCTTGAGCAAAGGATATTTGCACGACGTTGACCGATTCATGGCGTGACAAGAAGCCGAACCAATACCAGGGATGGTCACAAAGAGATTTTTTTTTCCTCGAGTTTGGCCGATGTCGCGCTAAAGGCTCGGTCCTTACATGAGAATAAGCTGGAAATGCATGTGCAAGGACAAAAGGTCCTTGAGTCGGCAAATCGATTGAAGCAACAAAAACGAAAACCACAACCAAACCAAAAACGACGACCCGCAAATCCCCCAGCCAGACTTGCGTTTCGCCAGCGGAAACAGCGAAGCAAACGGCAGAAACAAAACAAAAACCACAAAACGGGGCCAGAGCCCAAACAAAAACACCCACCGAATCGATTTGCCATTGGACGCAGTGGCTTATCCACTGCATCACTATCAAAAACATGCCAAATGAATTAGGGATCACGGCTGTCCAGGCAGACATGAAGGCCTTAGCTTGGGAGTTTACCCTAGCATGAGCCAAGCTGTACACGAAAGCAGGGCTACGATTAAAGCCTCTCTCAGAGTCCTCTCAAATCAACTCGTCAATGGGCCTTCATGGACATAGTAGTCGTCATCATATCTGTCAGGCGCGATCACGAAGCCGTGATGTTGAGAAATCAGATCCCCCCCTAGAGGGGGGGGACAGTGATGGCAAAGTAAAAAGAACAAGGTCAAGTAAGCAAGAAAGGCAGAGCAAAGAGACGGCCTTTACGGGCACCAGGCGATACGGCTGTCCTGAGTCACCTTAGTGGGTCACAAGAATGCTGTGTCAGTGCCTCTCCAGTCAGTACCAAAAGTAAACAGACAAGAATCAACCAGATCACCGATGTTCGTACATTCAATCTAAGCTCCATTCATTCGTTCCTGAGTGAGAGCAGGGGAGAGTAAACAAGCAGAGGAAGGCACGCAAGGTCCACCAGAGACGCAAACAGGCAAAAAGGAGACCCAGCAAGAGCACAACCGGACAACCAGACCAAGCGGCAACCAGACAGGAGGGGGGTGCCGGGGAGGCAGAGGAGGACAGGGGCGGAGAAGGCTGCACCAATCACATTAGAATAGCAATAGTGCAGCTTAGCGGAATCCAATATGGGAACTGGATCATCATCACGATGAATACCTCAGTATGGCCAAACTAAGCTCCCTGACGTCACAGTGACATGGTGTAGAGGGTGAAGACCCCACACAGGGCCAGTAGCCTTTGTTGCCATGAGACGAATGACGGAAGGATGGCAAAGCTCAACCACACTCCCAGCATGAAGGCAGGGCAACTAAGCCGTCACAGCTGCAACCAGATACCCAGAGGGAGGTACCAGCAAACCAAGGTACAAGCTGGACCAGAGCACCAAACAAGACAACCCGCGGGGGAGGGAAAGCAAAGGGGACAGAGAAAGGAACCAAAACAAAAGAGGGCAAACAACAAAGGAAGCAACAGGGCCCACCCAAGCACAGCGAGGAGCGCAACAAAACCAGGAAGACAACGAGGCGCACCAACAGGAGCAAAACACCAACACAATCCCACGAGCCCCGCAGGGCAACTCATGCAGGGAACCACAAGACCACCAAAGGGACAGGGCAGCACAGACCATACTTGTGCAGAGCGTAGTGCGCTTGACCAAAGTAAAGGTAAGAAGCAAACCGAAGAGAAACCACGGAAAAGGGGCGTGCACACAACAAGAAGGAACAGAAACAAAGAAATGAATTGAAGGAGTACGAGTGCACCTGTCACGTCTACGGACAGACACGCAAGTACAGAGAAAACCTAGCCCAAACACCATACACTTGGGAGAA